AAATAAATAGTTAAATAAAATAAATAAATTAAGTAATAAAATAATACTTATAATACTATATTAACTATAGATAAAATAACTAGGTTAAATAGCTACCTATTATATAATTAGCTTATAATATTGCCTATAATAAAAGTATAAAGTTAATACTAGCTTATATAAACTTCGGATTTACCCCTAATGCTTATTATAGTAATTAGAAAACAGAGATAATTAACCCTACTGTAATCCTAAAAGCAGATAAAATAAAAAACCTATATAAAGAAATAAAAATAGGTTTAGAATTTATTAAAAAAAGAATAAAAAAATACTATAACGCTAAAAAGGTTAGAGAATTAACCTTTAAGGAGGGAGAAATAGTTTACCTAGCTATAAAGAATATTATAATAAAATAACCCTTATATAAATTAGACTATAAATATATTAGACTATATAAAATTATAAAGAACATTTCAGAAAATAACTATAAACTAGACTTACCCCTAAAAGTCAGGCTCTATTTAATTTTTTATATTTCCTTACTTAAATTAATAGCTAATATAATATAAGTTAAAGTAAGCAATAAACTAGAAAATATTAAAAGACTAGAGGTTTATAAAGTAAAAGTAATTAAAGATATAAAGAAAATTAATAAATAAATAATATATTTAATAAAATAGAAAAATTACTTAGAAAATAAGAATATATAGGAGCTACTAGAAAACCTTATTAATACCTAGTAACTCCTAAAGAACTTTTACTATTAGCTTTAAAAATCAGATTAGTAAATAGAATATTAGAAAATATAGAATTATAATTAACTATATTAAAAGCACTATAAGACTAAACTTCGCTTATAGTTAAAGACTTAACCTAGTTAATAGCGGGAACCTTATAATCCTCTAAGGACTATATCCTATAAATAAATAATGCATTACCCTGCTCCTTAAGATAATACTTTATCTTATAAATATAAGCTAAATAAGCTATAGCCTCCTTAAGAGCCTCTTCGGCGGTATACTTATCCTCTTTAACTTTCTTTTACTCCCTTATATTTTAAGAAACTAGAGAAAAGTCAGTAAATACTATAAAAATATATAGAAATAACCTATAAAATATTATAATACTAAAACTATTATAAACTATATTTGCCTTAATATAGTTATTATAATAATTAGACTTTTTATCCTTTACCTTATAAATTAAATTGCAATAGAAATACTATAAATAAGGTATAATATAATCACTAAAATCCTAAATATATATAGCAAGAGCTCCTAATTTAAAAGATTTCTAATATTTAGATTTCGCTATATAACCAGATATATTATTAGCCACTAGAAAAAATAAATATAGGTCTAAGTTAGACTTACTAGGAAATAAGGACTAACCGCAGGAAATAAATAAAGTAAAAAAGCAGGTCTTAAGGATAAGACTTAATAGAGGGGAGGGATTATATTATAACTAGATTATATATACCCTACTTTTATACTTTTCCACTTTAATATAATCTACTTTAATACTTACTTTATATTAATTAAATTAGGACTAAAAGATTAACTCTTAGTCCTTAAACTCTAACTAATTAAATAAAGACTAAATAGCTTTATATTAGTCTAAGACTAATAACTTTATATCTCAGTCTAAGACTAATATAATAATAATACCTATTGCCTTATATCCCTAGACTAGTATAAATAACTATACTCTTTAAGCATTAAATAGAACTTAGCTTACTAGCTATTAATAAAATATCTTTACCTAAATATGCCTTACCCGCTCTATTTACTATCAAGAGATATAACACTTTGCTACGCTTAGTATTACAATGCCCTATATATCTGCCAATATAAACCTAGTACAGACTAGTTTATCCCTTGGGAATCACAACCGTCACATTACTGCGTATTGGGTGAGTTACAGGGTAGGTGATATATTGATCAGAGGCTCACGACATGGTAGGTGAGCCTATGGGTGATTGGTGAGAAAAGTGGGGTACATGTGACGTAACCGCTGTGGTCGTAATAATAAGCTTATATAGAAAGTCCTTCTTATCGGTAAAGCCCTGGAGATATATTATATAGTTGAGCTGGTTAAGCTAAGGAGATAGTTGTATAAACTGATCTGGCTTCTCTATTATATTAGCATCCTTTTAGACAATTAAGGAGTGATTCTTAAAGAAGTCCTTAATAGTAACTTCCTAATTACATAGTTCTGCCAATCTAGCTTCTAAATTAACCTTAAAATACTTACTTTAAGGACCTTTTAAAAATAAGCGTTAATAGTATACCCTAGACTGGAAGTATAGACTAGCAGTTAATACTTCCTTGCCCTTTATTAGTCTGCCTTTCTTTTTAAAATAGCTTAAATTATAATAGATATCCTATAAACAATAATATAACTCTTACATTAAGGTATATATCTAATAGTAAGATAGTATAAAAGTATATCTAAAGCTATTTATTCTTATTAAAGTAAGGTTAAGAATAGCTAGATCTAGAGGAATTAGATATAGGAACCTTTCTAGATTGTATTAATTGCAACTATAGTTAAACTGTTATGCTTAACGGTATATATATTTAATAGCCTTATCTCCCTTTAGAAGGCTATAAGGAAACTAATAGAAATAAAAGGAATTCTTATATTTAGGGTTACTAAGGGGTTAATCTTGCATTTAATTAAGCGGCTTAGGATTATATCTGTAATTTAATTAGTGCTTAAGGTTACCTAGAGTTATTTTTATACTTAACTGACTGAACTAATTAAATAGATTTCCTAGGCTATAGAGTAGTTATTATACCTCTAAAAGCTATAACTATTTAATTAGTTAGCTTTCTATATTAGTATTAAGTTTTAATCTAATCTGGTATTAGAAATATAGTTTTTATAATACCTAGGAATATAGGGTTATTCTTATATTTAATTAAGCAATCTAAGGCTATTCTTATAATACAATTAGTACTTAAGGTAGCTTAGGGTTATTTTTATATTTAACTAACTTACTTTATTTTATTAGCTATAAAGTAGCTACTATACTTCTAAAAGTTATAACTATTTAATCAGTTAATATACTAAGTTAATTTTAAATTTCTACCTAATTTAATATTAAGAATATAATTTCCTAAAATACCTAGGAATATAAGGTTCTTCTTATATCTAAATAAGACTTAAGGTTATTTTTATATATATTAAATTTAATTTCTTTTTAAAGTATATATTAATACTAATAGTAGGTTTAATCCTAATTTAAATAAGCTCTTAACTCTACTAATTAGCTTTAAGCTTAATTTAGCTAAAACTCTAATATAGGTTAATTATATTAAAAAGCAGCTAAAATAAATAAAAGAATTAATTATTTAAGCTATAATAGTAATATTATAGTTCTAAAAGCTAGAACTATTTAATTAGCTAGTTATTTAACTTCCTTTAATTTCTCCTAGGTATATAATGTTATAAATACTATTTTCTAGAAAATATAAGTTAGCAGTAGAATTAAATACAGGTTAAGGGGTAAGCTAATAGCGCCGCGCTAAAGTGCCATATAAAATAAACGTGGGTTGGTCAACCTACGATTATAATGAATGATAGGGCTTGCCAGTTGTTTAGCAAGATATCATTGGACCGTGCATAAATGCAGTACCAGTACATGCTTGCATATAAAGAGTGAAGGAAATCAGCAATAACTACTTCGCGATCTACAAGACTAATATCTCTTGAGTTTACCTTACGAAACACTTGGATTCGAAGAGTTAAACCGCAACTGCACCGGCTGGCCAGCAGAAATCACAAATTATTCTACCTGCGTCACATACCACAACTTCGAGTATTACCCACAGAGTGAAGTAGAACAGCAGAGGGTTGAGATAGGAGTGTTAGCAAGGCGTATCGAGTTTCGCATGGTAGAACCGCTTCACGACTTAGCCATTGCAGGAGAGGTTAATCCTGATGGGACCAGCCTCCATATCACCGTCGTCACTAAGGCGCAGCTGTTCCAAGAGGACAAAGCTAGGCAGATTCTAGAAGATATTAGTAGAGTGTTCCAGACCTTGAACTCATCTTTATAATAAGAGAGTAGCAATTATGTATATTAGAAGCTTATCTTTTAGGTGGTTGTATTAATTGATGCATTCAAATTTTCGCTGCACTGTATTTCCCGTTTCTGATTTGCATTTTGGTAACACATGGCAAAGACTCCATGTTGACGTCTAATGGAAACGTCACGTCTCTTCGCTTTTCTGTAGCCAAATGAGTTAGTCCTTGGTTATTACCCATTGACCCATGCCGCGTGGCGAGGCGAACCAAGTTTGACCCGCGACATGAGTTAACAGGGAGTTGTTGGTTGTTGGTTGTTAGTTATTAGCTGATGCCCTGTACTCGGCGATTGCCTAATGCAGTTTGTTATGACAGTTATGATCCGTTTGGGCTCCACAAAGAATACGTATCCACGACTCGTGGAATCGTATAATGGACTTTTTAGTCACAACCAACAGCGGATCTGCGTTCGGTAGAGCTTAGACCTTGTAGATCCTCGCTTTGACCACCTTCTAGCCACTCATTTATGCTCGCTTATGTTTGCATTAATACCAAAGTATGCTGGTTATGCTTGTATTGCGGAGTATGCTAGCTGGTGGTCTGACAAAGGATATGGAAACTTGCGTAAAGTGATACAGGTAAAATAGTCCCAGTTTTCTTTTGGCCCGCCTGGCTAGGGTTAAAGATCTAAAGGCCATTGGTGCCGGGCGGTGGGAACTCAATGTAGTTTTGAGGGGTAGTATGAAGGAAGATCTTACGCAGCATAACGTCATGATGGCTTTCTCTTCGCTTGCCTTTAACGCTTTCCAATCCCTGGCCCTAAAGATTGGAAAATTATAAGAGCAGCAGATATCGTCGTTTAGTCTTAGAATTTCTTCTTCATCAAACAATCACTACAACCTCATTCACTTTACAAACATCTTTTCCAAATCACAGACAGCTATAAACCACATTTACCACTCCCAAATTCCACCCTTACCCCAAGAACAATGTATCTCAACATCATCACCTCCCTTGTCCTCCTCGGCAGTATTGCCACAGCGGCTCCAACTTCGGACCAATCTCTCAACCTTCAGAAACGCGCAACGCGCCCTGATGTCACGGTCGGGATTTTCACGGATCAATATTGCGAAGACTCCACTGGAACCTTTATCGACAACAAGCCCAAGTGTATCAACCTGGATAACTTTAGCGTCGACATTCTTGCTATCAATGCTGATGTTGATGGCACGATCTTGGGTGATCGTTGCAGTTGGGAGGTCTGGGCGTACCCTAACCTCGATTGCGACAGCGATGACAACAGCAGTGGAGCCGGTAAACTTTCTCCTTACGGAACGTGCAGACACTTGACCGGTCTTCCTACAAAACCTATCAAGAGCGTTGGGGTGTATGAATTTGGCCCATGTGAGTAGATATAGCTTATGGAATGGGGGCATTGAATAAGGGTTCAAGAGACTTCATTTGTATTAGCTGCAAACTTGACTTCTCTTATAAATTCAGACTCGGGCAATTGAAAATATATCCTATTATTTATTATAATAGTTATTAACCCTAATGCTAAGTCCCAGCAATATTACCCTAGTAGCTAATAATAAACTTAATTGTAGTAGAATTAAATTCTTTGCCCTGCTTTATAGGGGGTAGAGTTAAATTTATTAATAGGGGTAAAGTTAATTTTTATAAGCTAATTAAAATTTATTAATCTTATATATAAAGAATGCAATATTATAAGTATATATAGCACTTAGATTTATAACTTTTACTTTTATTCTAGTGTGTGTCACGGGTTGAGTTCGGTCTACAGGTAGACGGGGACGCTTCTGGCGGAACGGGGTCTACTAGCTACGGATAGGCACTGTAGGCAGGTCAGGCTCTATTAACAAGACGTAGCTCAAGGAGCTACGTTCGGGAGCTATCTGGTTGTTGAACTAAAGTTCCTGCGATAACGTATCGCCACGTGATCCGGATCCCCTCGGTTGCTGGTCTAGGGTAAGCTGGTCCGGCTTCAAGCTGTGACATCTTTCTTCTTTTTTACTCTATTTCTATACTTTATTACTTTATTTTATTCCTCTTCTTTATTTTCTTTACTTTCTTTATAGCTAGCTTTATTTTCTTTCTTTTTTCTATACCTTATAGCAGTTATAGCTTTATCTTCTTTACCTTTCCTTATATATTTCCTTATAGCTATAGTTATTTCCTGTCCTTATACTATATATAGTCCCTAGAAAAGCAACTAGGCAGATAGCTTAGATAGTTAATACCACCCTAATCTAACCCGAACCTCGAGGCAATCTTCGCGACCGCCGCGAGCTATACTGCAATCTTCAATATTTCTTTTTACTATATAATATAACCCTAGGGTTAGGGTTAACAGTCTATAGATAAATAACAGATAGAGACCTAAAGGTCTCTATAGAGATTCTATAGTGGCTGCTTCAATAAGGGAGACTGGTTGCTGTTTAGTAGTCGGGGCAGGTTTAGAGGAGGGGGCGGGATGGGCGAGTTGGGCCCCTTCCGTGGCCGCAGCAGTAGAGATCGCATTGAGAGGCGAAGACGGCGTTTGAGCCGTCCTCCCGAAGGCGGGCGGGACCCCAACAGGTCCATTCACGACAGCGGGGCTGTTTTGCAAGAGGGCAGTGCGGGCTCCTCGATTGAGATTGGCAGGAGTATGGATTCCCAGGTCAAAAGGGTCCGGGACAATAGGCGGGCTGTGCGAAGCGCAGGATTGTGGTTGTTGTGGTGCACTTGTTAAGAAGATTGGTGTAATTAGGGCTATTTTCTTAACATCTGCATGCCAAGAAAATAAGATGACAAAGGAAGGTGTGTTTTAACTGCGCTAATGCAGCACATGTTATGTTATGTTATGTTATGTATATTTTTCGTCCGGGGGGCCATAGGCCCCGAAAAGTCCCCTACTGGGGCACAGGACGTGCTGGGCTAGAGGAATCGGAATCTATCTACACGCTAGTTACAGAAATGCTATTGGCATAAAGGATTAGTCATTCGCGACGCGAAATTAGTCTTCCCCGTGGCATCCAATTTCTGTAAACGGGTCAGTAGACCGCACTCTATCCAGCCTATCATTGGCACAAATGGCGCATCCTATCGAGCCTGTTACCCGTCAGCGGGATGACAAGGCGCAGCTGGCATATGGCAGCCGCTTTTGGAGCCTGATGTCAGAAGAGCTGAGATCAGTCTGTGTGCGGCAGCTCGAGACCGCCTCAAGGTGGTCCCGGCCAGGTGAGGGGCGCGGTGGCGCCCTTCATCTGGCCGTGAGCATATAAGAGAGGAAGAAACGGTAACAAAAGAGATGTGTGGAAGATAGAGAGGGAAGGAGAGTTGCGAGTGCTTCTCAGGTTATCGTCGCCTAATAACGAGGGCAAATCTTTCCAAAGAACGCGCTGTCCTTAGACAGGTCGATGAATTTGCTGAAGTCTCTTCCTATTGCAAGGTTCATTGCCGTATTCGGAGAGGGTGCAAGCCTCATCCGATGACGCAGCGGTACTTTTCTGCAGTAGAAGATGTGATCCGGTGCTTTGCGTCGGCCACATGAGCAGACCAGGCGTGCGTCGTTGTGGTCGAATCTCTCGTGATACGCAGCGAAGTCCCCATGGAGGGATCTCGCTGCCAGCAGATGGTGCAAGGCTGCGCGCGGGAGCGAGAGCTCCGGCGGGCAGCCTGTGGTCGCCTTGAGATTGAGTCTTTTGTACTGCTCAGGAGCGGAGGTGGACCACCACGCCTGGAACGCTTCTTTGGGCTTCTGTCTTGCGATTCTTCGTAGGTAAGCCAGCGTCGGTTGAGCGCCTTCGGGCTCTGGGAGCGATGAAGCTGCCTTTGCCAGCTTGTCGGCCTGTTCGTTGCCGGGGATGTTGGAGTGCCCTGGCACCCAGCGAACTTGGATGGCTCCATGCGATGTCGTCAGAGCTTGGAACTCGAGAAAGACGTTTTGAGAGGATTCAGAAGGAGTGCCTCGTAGACACGTGGCGGCTGCCAGGTTATCTAGGCAGATGAATATATTCTGTGTTGCTAATTCTCGCAGGTTTAGAGCAGCCTTCAGGCCCTCGAAAGCCCCGGTAGCTTCAGCATCGAAAACCTCAGCAGGTCCGAGACGACCTGATCCGTCAAAGATGGGGATATTGTTCTGAAGGATGGTGAAGCCATAGCTGGCAGCCCCTTCTGAGGAAAGAGAGCTATCCGAGTATACGACCAAGGTGAGCGGGTCGAGAGACTCGACCCAGCGGGAAAAGGCGTCAGCCGATTTCTCTTTAGACGCTGCCTGCAGTGGAGGCATCTGTTCTTGATGGAAGCATCGATAGACGAGTTTCGGCCGCGTGCAGGGTGCAAAGAGTTCGTTTGCACGTCGAAGGCGCGTCCTGAAGCTGCTCTCTGCCTGTATTTGATATCTTCGTTTGATGAGGTCGTGGTAAGTAGGCTGTCGGGGCGGGCGCGTTCGGATCGCCAGAGGATGAGCCTCATCCAGCGATTTGAGTCGTGCGGAGAACCTAAGTCGCCTCGCGTTAAGCAATTGATCGACTGGTAGTATCCCGCTTTCTCTGTGGAGGACGGTGATAGGTGTCGTCTTCCAGACGGGAAGAATGGCCTTCATAGCCTGTTTCATGGCTTTTGTCATTATTTGCACGAGATGCTGGTTACTCGATGGTAGATCTTTCGTAGGATGGGTCCACCGCGGCCTGGTCTTGCCCGGGTACCACGCCTCGGAGCCGTGGAGCAGCACTGGCTCGACACATGCTTTAACGGCGCCTCGCACGGCGCTCGGTAGAGGGCCGTGTACCGTATTGGTGAGCCCCCGCAAATGATAAGCCACTGCCTTTGCTTTGGCCGCCCACTTTTCGACATGAAGTCGAAAAGATAGTCTGCTATCCAACCAGATACCAAGCCAGCGTAGAGCTGGTTCAGGGTATTTCTCGACATCGCCGTGGCGTACTGCCGGCGCAGTCCTGAGTTTGCTGCGGGAGAAATGCATGACTTCGGTCTTCTTCGTGTCGAAGGACACGCCATTCTCCGCGCCCCATCGCACCATCTCGGCGATGGATCTAGATGCCATGGAAGAAGTCTCGTCTACTGTGTCGCCTATGGACAGGATGGCCGTGTCATCTGCATAGCCGAAGCGACCCTGAGGGTTCCCTAATCGATAGATTGGCTCAGTGTAAAGCAGAAAGAGGATTGGCGATACCGGCGACCCCTGAGGGAGGCCGCACTGAAGGGGAGAAGAGGGCGTGACTGTGTCTTGGTACCTGACACGCGCCGACCGGCCGCCCATGAAGGAGCCGGCCCAGCGAGCCAGATGATTAGGCCAGCCTTGGTCACGAAGACGCAGGACGAGCCTGTTGCGCATGACAGTGTCGAAAGCACCTTGGACGTCCATTGTGACTAGAGTCGCTACCTTCTTGCGTGCAAACGCTTCTTCAATATCATGGACCAGAGCAGTTACCAAGTCTGTTGCCGACCTCTTGGGGAGCGCCCCAGCTTGTTGCTGATGAAGGACGCTGTAGTGAACGGCTGCCCAGGCTAGGCGGCGCGCGATCAGTCGTTCTAGTCCCTTACCAAGACAGGAGAGCAGTGAGATGGGTCGCCATGCTCGCGGCTCTGTGAGGTCTCTGCGTCCCGGTTTCGCGATCATGACCACCTCGGCCTCCTTGAATGGTTTTGGATGATGGCCTATGGTAAGGCATCCTTCGAAGAGACGACGGACGTGTATACCGATGGTATGCCATACTGCTTCAAGAAGTTTGACTGTGATATTGTCTGACCCTGGGGATGTATTGCCTGTGTGACAAGTCGCATATTGCGCCTCCTCCAGAGAGATTTCGGGAGAGAATGGGATCGATCTAGGTGGGAATACTGGCGTCCATGCGTTTGCGATGTCGTCCTCCGCAGTTCTTCGTTCAAGCGTGGCCTGTCGGAGTGCGTTGGCTTTATCCATCTGGCTTTCGTATACGACGTTATCGATCTATAGAGGTGGCGGCTGGAAGGCTCCTGGGGACTTTAGCCACCGGACAGCTTTAAAAACATCGCTACTGCTGGAGAAGCCGTCGATGAGGTTACGCCAATAGCGCCTCTTGGCCCAACGGACCACACGATGAAAGCCTCTCTTGGCGATCTGAACGTCCTGGTTGAAGCCGAGTGGGTAGCTTCTTCTGATGGCTCGAAAAGCAGCCGCGGCGTCGGCGCACTCCTCCGTCCACCAGGGAGCCGGGCATCCGCCTTTCCGTGCGGGCCTCCCAGACGCTTTTACTGCTGATGTTAGTAGACTCACAAGTGAAGACGCAAGCTCGTCCAGCTCCTCGGGGGTCGAATCTGTCAGGGGTATTCCTGTAGCGCCAAGCTCTACGATCTCGACGAATCGTTTAAGCTCGTCTTCCGTCGTCACTCGAATCTTGCCTGGCTGCATCAGAGTCGATCTGACGTCTGAGAAGGTCAGGCTGAGCGTGAAGTGGTCAGAGCTGGTGGCGAGATGGTCCTCGACGACAGCTTCAGCAAGTGGTAGGTTAGTAAAGGCAAGATCGATTGTGTTGCCGTACGGGTTTGTTGGGATGTCTAAAGTGTTGAGAAGGCTGAGGTCATTCTCAGACACCCATCCTGCTATCTCTTGGCCCCGGTTCGTAGTTTGGCCTGTTTGCCAGCTACGATGTCTGGCATTGAAATCGCCAGCTACGAGGCAACGTTCCGGGACAGACCATTGAAATAGCGTGTCTAGGGCGTCCCTCTCGTCGTTCTGACGATAGAAGTTGACGATCGTCAGGTCGTTGATTGTGAGCCAAAGGATATCACGAGTCTGAAAAGGCCGAATCTGGTCAGCAAGAAGTCTTGGGTCTCGTCGGACATATGTCATCACTCTAGGCCGAGTGTCGTTGCTGTTCCACATGTCGACCGGCGTAAATGTGTCGTATGCAGGGTGAGTCTTAGTTAAAGTGCGGGTCTCTGTGTGAGCCGTCCACGGCTCTTGCAAGAGCACAACGTCATATTGTTCCGAGTCGGCCAGCGCCAGGGCGCAGTCGTGGGCCGGAGGGATCTTGCCGACGTTGGCCTGGAAGATCCTGAGCGGCTTCCTGTCGTTCTTTCGTGTTTGAGAATATCTATTCCTGGCCATGAGAGCGATTAATGAGAACTATTCGGCGCTTTCGCGGTGAGCCTGGTCTGGGCTGTTCGGGTTCTTCCTCTGCTTCATAGCCAGCATGAGGGGTCGTGGCCACCATGATGCACGATGGTGCTCCTGATATAGCTGGGCTTGGGGCACGAACGCTCGGCTGCTCTTGTGATGCGGCATCCTCGCCTTGTCGTTCATACGTGCTGTTATGGGCTTGGTGCAATTCCGGTTGTGCTTCTCGCTGTCGTTGTCGGTATGCCTCCGCGCCTACGGTCCGGACATGTCCTCGCTGTTCTTTGGTAAGTCGGCGCAGCACGCCGCGCACTTTCTTCGGTCGAGCTGGGCACCTGTGAAAGTTAGCCAGGTGAGGGCCCAAGCAGTTAATGCACTGTTCTGGCGCGGCGCAGTCATCAGTAGAGTGGCCGATCTTGCCGCAGCGTTGGCAGACTGGCCGTCTATGACAGTTGCGGTCAAAGTGAAAGCCCCAGCACGTCTCACACTGTCTTAGCCGGTCAGTTTTATCGACAAGTCTGGCCATGCTGCTGCCAAGCAGCGACCAAAATCTCTTTGTGGGCTTCAGAAAGGACACAAGTAGGGCCTTAGTCAAAGGGTTATCCGAGAATTATCGCGCCGGGCATATGTCAACAGGCTTGAGCCCCGTCTGCATTTCTATCTCGTCGCTGACGATGCTGTCACTATCCACCTCATTACCGTGAAAGTCGGTCAGTCTTTTGGGAAAGTCTGAGACCACATAGGTGAACCATTCTTTGTTCGTTTCTACTGCTATAGGTTTCAGTTCAGCGGCCCATTTAGCCTGCTTTTCTACAAGAAAGTCGCGTGTTGCCGAGTCGGCAGCCAAGACGGCCCATCCAGACCGGACCTGGAATACCTGTCGGATGTTGTCCGAGACGGCGCCGAGTTTCTCCCGGATTAAGGTCCGGATGGTATAGCCACTGTGGGCCCTGGCCGGGGCTCCGGCTTCTAGACGGATGAAGACACGGAGATCTTGTCGGAGTGGGGCGATGGTCGGCTGTTGCCCTTGGCGATGAGGTGGGTCGAATTGTCGGTGCTGCTGTTGTTGCTGACGGTGTTGCTGACGGTGTTGCTGATGGTGGCGGTGGGCTGGGCGAATGTGGGCAGCGGGAAGCGAGATAGCGGCGACGCTGCTGTAGCTGGCCTTGGGGGTCGTAGGTCCGGAGCCGGAGAGCTCTCGTTTCCAGATGCCGAGGAAGCTGTCAGCAAGTTGTCTAGCGAAACGGCGTTGCGGTCCGGTAGCGAATTGCTGAGCCGCTTCTTCAAACTTGGCGCAGAAGGTTTGAAAGGCCATCAGCTTGGCGTTGTACTCTTCCGCGTGTTCTCGCGCGAGATCATTGGCCGACTCGATAATAGATATTGGTTGTTGTTCAGAGATCGATGGTGAGTTGGCACGCGCAGCTTCTTCCGTAGCTGCAGCAGCGGTGGCGGCGATAAGTGGTGAGGATGGAGTCTGGGCCATCTGCCTGGGAACGGGCAAAACACCAATGGTGCCATTCACGGTCGCAGGGCTATTCTGCAAGAGAGCTGCACGGGCTCCTCGATTCAGATTAGCGGGAGTGTGGATCCCTAAATCGAAGGGGTCTGGGGCAGCGGGCGGGCTCGTCGAAAACGAGGCCATCGCCGCGGCTTGCGACTGCGCAAAGCGCAGGTTGAGTCGTTTGTTGTGTACTTGTTAAGGATTTACGTGTAGACAGGGCCACTTTTTAACACTTGTATGCCAAGAAAGTGTGATGACAAAGGAAGGTGCAATTAGGGGTACACGACAATTAGAAATAGAAGAGTAGTAGGGTAGTCAATCCTCCATAGTAAAAGTGGACGACTGACAAGATCAAGAGTCAATTGAGGAGGAGAAAATTTTTATTGCATACATACTGGCGTCAGTAGAGCGCTTCCTAAATTACTACGACGTAGTCACGAAACACGCGTGGTTAAGATATTAATTTACGCGAAGGCGCTCAGGAGGTATATCGCTTTGCGCCGCCAAAGTAAAGCTATCTGCGAAGGTTGCGACGAAGGAACGAACCAGCCAATGAGAAGGTTCATCACGCACTTGTAATCAAAAAAACCGGTGGGGGATTGAAAACACTGTCCCTCTTTCAGTGAAAGAGGAACTAGCAGGGGTATAAGCCAATGAGCGGTGGTGAATTTCCTCTTTTACTGAAAATGGGACTGACCATAAGGATGTAGAAGGTGTTGCGTCGAGATCTGCTTTTTTGCTCTGTTTGAACGGACAGGTCAACCCTGACCCCTCCAACCATCATAGATATATATATATATATATATAGATTAGTGAACGATAATTATTATTCAGGATGAGATAAATGCTTGATATCTACTTTCCTTCGCCATAGCTGGAATTCCAGGGTTATGCTAGCCCTAGTATATGCCAAATATGTCTTAAATGATCATATAAGTGCAGGATGGAGCTCCTGGTTTCAATGCATCGCTTGCCATTAAACGATCATTTACATAAGCGGCGGGTAGATAAACATAGGTGGAAAATGTTTCTCGGCTATAATCACAATAAAGATAAACTCACTAAGATTGCAATGCTAATCTCAAGGATTTACATAGCCTTGACCGTCTATGTAGCCTGTGCCTCGATCGTTAAGCATCGTGAAGTCCAGTGTGGCATATAGACGGCGTAGTTCTCTCACAGGACTGCAATGATGATAATGTTAATGGTGGTCTCCATGATGGTCATGAGGTATAGTTTTCCTTGCCTAAGATGATAAAACATAGCTAGTATTAATATCTTACAACTCTAAAACTAAGTATGAGTTTGCCCTTTTTATATCTAAAAATGCAATACTAGATCTATATACATATCCAACACAATTCTGGTAATCTGGGTGAATAAATAACAAGTCCTCATCTCCTTTCTTTACCCAATTTCTAGAGAATAGGTTTATAGATAATTGCTTAGAGACTGAAGTTGATAAACAGCCTAGCTTAGTCCTGATATAGCTGCCACAAGGAGAAAAGGATAACTGTCGTATTGAAACCTTGTAATCATAGGTCAGCAATGCTGACCCATGAATTACGTCCCAAAGGGTCGCTGAGAATTCTGTTGATAGTGATGCCAGTACTTTCCCATCAGGCGAAAAGCAAAGGAATCCCGAAAACTGGGGAAGGCAGTGCACCTTAGTTCGATTCCGCAGATCCCATAGTTGAATAGTTTTAGGGGCACAAGTGATTGCCAGTAAATCCGAAGTGGGTGAGAGAGCCATAACACCAGAACGATGGAAGTCATTTGCGCACTCAATTGGATCCCATAACCTGGCTCCAGCTTGTAAATCCCACATGCAGAAGCCGTACTCATAGGCAGTAATCATAACTTTCCCGTCAAGCGTGAATGAGAAACCGGTGATCAAATGATTGTGATCGGGAAAGAATCCGGAAGTGGGCAAGAATTTGGAAAACCTGCCATTGTATACCTCCCAAAGAGCTATGCCAAAAATCTGATTGCTCATTGACCCTGCCGGCATGCGAATAGGTGCATTCGACATACAGCCCCACGGTATTGCCAGTAATTCCCCGTCATCAGAGAAGCCCATAGGAATGGGGTAACATTTGTTGGTATATCTGAGGGATGTGTATTCCGGTATCGTGGTTAATTTATGAAGCCGGCCTGTCCTGCAATTCAAAATTCGAATGCTCATGTCTCTCTTATAGAGCATAGCAATCAGTGACCTATCAGGAGAAAAGGCATATGTTCCAATCTCTTCGTCCGTTTGAAACAAACATGCACCTGTCCTCGCAGCACGTATCTGCACTTCTTGGTTGAACCCGACCACCACAAGCTCCCAGTCCGGAGAGAACATCAGGACTCTTGCGGGAGTAGGGTCGGGTACGAAATCCTTTTTGGGTTGTTCTTGTTCGATTTCCCACAGCCGAACTGTTTTATCACTCGATGCTGTGGCTATGAAATTGTTACCAGGAGAGAAGGAGATGCTAGTGACTAAGCTCGAGTAGCTTTCGAGTGTATGCATTAGAGTGCCGTTGGCTGTGTCATAGACACATGTTGTGCAGTTGGCGCACGCTACAGCAAGGAATCTTCCATCGAGAGAAAATGTCACAGCGTTATCCCGAATGGAAGGACCATAAAAGATCCATTTCTTTTTCCCCGTTGACGAGTCGATCAGATACCCTTGTCCGGGACTGACACACGCAGCGAGGAGCTTTCCATCTGGTGAGAAGACTAGAGATTCGCCCACAGCTGTATCATGGCCGAACTTGTGATGGTGCCTGTATACTCGCCGACAGGTTTCGTTCATTGGGCTGGCAAGCCACAGCCATGTGTTCGTGTCATCTCTTCGACGGTCTTTGTGAGTTCTGATGGCTAGAGACTTGATATCTGGAGATATTGCCAGGCCACAGATGCCACCTTTTGGCGGCGCAGGAATGCGCTGGACACTGCCGTCTTCGAGGTCCAACAGATTGATCTGGGATTCAAGTTTTTGTATAGCAAAAAGCCTTTCGTCCGAAGTAAAACCAGCGGCGAGCAAATCTCCCTCGACTCGAAAACTCGCAATTTTGGATCCAGTTTCCATATCCCACATGAATATTTTCCAACCAATATTTCTGTCGATAAGACCTGCAGCCACCAATTTTTTCCCATCAGGCGAGAAACTAAAAGGTGTCACTGCCCCAAGGCCTTTTCCAATAGTTAAGCATTCAGTGCCCGTTCCCGTTTTCCAAAGTCGTATTTCGTCATCACCTTCGCCACTTCCAACCACAGTGGCCAACCTTTCTCCGTTTGGTGAGAAACACATGGCCTTGACAAGTTCAGAATGCTGTTTGGGCAGCCACTTCTCAATACCAGTTGTGGGATCCCAGAGTCGTACCACGGTTCCTGACCGTACTGCAAGCACGGCACTGTTGGGCGAGAAGGCAAGAGAGTTAACATGACTTCCACTCTTTATTGTTTGTAGATGAAAGCCCCAGGTTTCATTGACACGAGGGGACTGGAGAACCCATTGTGGTATATATTGAGAATAGTTCTTTCGGGTTATGCTCCTCATGGGACTGAAAAGGAGAGCAGAAGAGTAAACTTGTAATGGTGCTTGTTCAATTACAACACCATGCATTGATAGAAAACGGGAAGCGTCTTGTACCATGGAGCTTATGTCCTCTTCAGGCACGTGCTTCTCCTTCGTCCCAAGTGACTCCTTCAGTGCAGAGAAAAAAGAGCGATGCCGATGAGATGAATCGTCAATATTTCCAGTACCGCCAGATTCATCTGCTAACATCGCTCGAAGAGACTTTACACCTTCGATAGCATAGACTAAATTTCTAGTCCAAGCGAGTGTCTCGAGCCAGAAAAGCAGGCAGTGCCGAATGAAATCCGTTATCGCAACGTGCTGCACTGAGTTGATCCCACTATGATTCAAATGGTGCATCCAGTAGCAACAGGCATACTGGACTGGATATGGGATCCGCTCTCTGACAAGGGATTTGGATATCTCATGAACCCGCAAAGCTGGTTTGTCAACATTGCACATGTTGTAGTGCAACCCATTCTTCATGACACGAAAGCAACAATCCAGTAAGTACTGATGCGCTTTCTGTTCGTTGATATGAAAACGAGAATCTAAGCATCGAGAGGGGTCGAGGAGGAAGTCACGAAAGGACGGGTGCAGTATGCCTATCGGCTTCTCGGGATGATCAGGGATATTGAGGACAGAATGAAAATTGTCGATAGCTGGTCTGAGACTTCCTTCTCCAAGAAAGGTGCAAAGACTGGATGACGAGAAGGTGTCTGACAAAACGATGATAGCGCCAACCACACGACGAAACCACTGCGGTGGCTCGGACGAATTATGACGTGAATGTACAATAATCGAGCTTTGAAGGATTATCGTGTAAAGCTGATCTAGTTCCTGAAGAGGGCTTGAATTTGGAGCTTTAGACTCAACAAGGCCGGATAGACGACTTTTAGCACCATCGAGTCCACCTTGCCAGATATAGCGGCATACTGCAGCAGCATAAATAAAAAGGCCGCACGATTGCTGGACCATTTTCGAAATTGTCGTATCGCAAACAAGGTCTTGGAGGCCAAACCTGTTGTTGATCTTGTCGAGTTCATGTGTGTAGAACTCGGTGAGATCGTCATTGACAATGGACCTTTCCACGTCGTGAAGGACTAGAAGTTGGCGCTCTTGGGTAGAGATACTGTCAAACTCGAGAGTAATTGGGCGCTCTGGACGACTAGTGGCAAGGATCCGTAATTGGTGTCCCCCTAGTGGTACACAAGATGCCAGGCATCGAATCAACAGGCATGAGTCTTCGTCACCCTCACACTCATCTAGCGCATCCACTACAACGAGTAGTGACCGCAAAGACCCTTGCGGGCATGCTAACGAAAGAGGCTGAAGGACAAGGCGCTCCCATTGATACGAAAGACTTTTACTGCTTATATCCGGGTTGGCGCAGACAGCTTCTTGGATTCTTGTCTGCAGCTCTTGGCTATGCTGTGCCAGCTGGGAAGCGATGGTGGCCACGAACTTATCAGATATGGCAAGGCCACTATGGCCTCTGGAGAAGAAAAAGCTTGCTCCGAGCTTACCCTTCTGATGATACTCCCGAGCAATAGTCAGGGCAATAGTAGATTTGCCTGTACCAGCGATGCCTTTTAGCCAGTATAATTGTCGAGTGTCTTCGCTATCGGCCCACTTGCGAATCTCATCAAGGACCTTGACTCTGGTATTCGGAAGGCACGAAGACGTACTCTGTCTGCTTTTTGCGTCGAAGGCAGCACTTGATATTCTGTCTGGTAGGCCAAGGAAGGGCGTCCTTCCTGCCACAGATGGTAGCTCTCGTTTAAGGATTTTAAACAGCCTAGCCTCTGCATCCTTGCGGCAGTTCTTACATGGGCAGTTTGGCGTTGCAGAGCCGCATTTGATTAGATCCCAAGGCCGCAGGTACATGAAACCTGAGACAGGCTCACTCATTGCTACGAGAAGCTTCATCATTCCGTCCTTGGTAGCGACGTGCCGCTTCAATTCCTTATGTTCTTTGAGGACCTGCTTTTGTATGACGAACTCAAGAATAGAAGCGGCGATCGCCGCCGCCGTGGGGGTTGCGAAGGATGTGCCGGTAAGCCTTTTGGGCTCCAAGGTTGATTTCTTAGCGATAACAGCTTCTCCCAATGTCGAAAAGTTGAAGACACCCTCGCGAGGTGGTGGATTGAAGTCAGAGCTGTTGCCGTAGCCATCGCAGGAATTTACGCAGATTACTTCCTGCATACTCGCGGGGAACGTGACCCTAGCTGGTAGATTTGCTCCCTCGTTGGATGCAGCTGCAAACATGATCTTGTCTTTGGAGTGCGCTAGTCGAATAGCGTCACTGATGCACTCATGCTCTCTTCTGAAACCCCAAGACATGGAAATAACCTGAACATCCCAGTGTTCTACTGAGTAACGTATTGCCTGCCGCAGTTAGTTAGCAGGGTATCGAGAGTTTAGTTGCTGGAGTACAACCTTGGAAATGCAGGACGGATCCATGGATTCGTCACCATCCTTTCCAATCCGGGCAACATAAACGTGTGCCCAAGGGGCAAGACTCAAAAGAAGTGCAACAACCTGCGTTCCGTGATGATTGCCTTCAAGGCCGCCAGAGTCTTGGGTATCGTCTGCTACAATGAAGCTCATGTTATCTTTAATGTTCTCATGGAACCCTGAAGCGAGCATGGACTTGTCGATCCCGGTGTCCAGGACTGCGATCTTGACTTGGCCCGCTGCGCGCCCAGCGTAACCCCCGATAGGCCGACAGAAGAGGTCATAGAGTTGGTACCATTTGTCAGCATTTTCCTTACTATAAAATAAGTGTCTGAGTTAGCCTTAGAATATCTAATGACAAGACCTCTGGATTTACCTTTTCAGGGTGTGGTAAGGAATGACTTCGAGAGGATTGAGCAATTGGACGTTGCCGGGTGTCAGACTTACCCTAGCCCGGTCCATCTTATGATTGGCAGGATGTTGGGGAATTGCCTGAGCAATGATTTTGGTGCAAAAGCAAAGCGTACTAGGTAGTAAGTGGCATGCACTTCTGTTAGAAAGGATACAAGGACTTCGCTTAGCATACTTGACACTTTATATCCGTACTTTGACAGGTCTTTGATTCGATTTGCGGTTATTTATAGCATTTTCCAGCCGCAAAGTGAGGGGAAATTGCATACTTGGCTTCAGCTGATATGATGCAGATCACTAAATTTTCAGCCTCAGCGCTTAACTGTTCCAATAGAAAACATAGAATCTAAAATTAGAAACCCAGCTCGACGAGTGGTTTAATTGTTCCAAGCCTTGGGTAGCTAAGCGCCCTTTTTCCCTATTTTTATAATTACCGCACAGCTGTCCATGTTTAACCTACCGACTTGCATCTTTCGTACAGTCCACTCACACATTTCTTATATTATTATACTCTGGTACCATGCCCAAGTCCTACTTCGCAACGTCTAGTCGTGATTGTTCCCCGGATGGCCCTATTGCCTTGGGGAGCATTCTTGTCGACCCACGTGATCCTGAAGCGCCGCTCAGCGACAGACCCATTCCCATTGACACCGAGACAGTCCAGAGCCACGACCAGTACGACGTACAGATAAACTTAGCGAATATTGATCGAGCGAGTGCTGGGCTCTTTGCCAAGATTTTCCACAGTACCGGACTTGTTCTGTCTGGAAGCAGCAGCACTCGCGTACAGTCCTCTGCGAGCATCCAAAGACTTCAGACATTGTCCTTTGAACCTTCTGATGACTACATGAAAAAGAGTCTATCTGTGCCCAAGGTGCAACAGTATCTTGCCCGCTATCATATGCGGAAGCGCGTCTTTGTCATCACTGGAGTCAAGGTCGCGTTCGGTGCAAAGGTCATGGACACTGAGAGTCACCACGGGAACGTCGATGCATCTGTTGGGCTGGACGGTGATGCAATCGGTGTGCCTCTCAGCGCTGGCCCGCGTGCAAACATTCACCAAGGAACATTACAATCAGTCTCATTCAAAGAATCATCTCCCTTCATTATTGCATATCGGCTAAGAGAGATCCGGTATAGAAAGGGAATTGCGACCGAAACCAAGCCGTACCGTAACGGCGCTTTATACGAGCTTGGACAGAATATGCAAGAAGGCCCAGGCATTGAGAACGACAGCACTCAGCATGAGGAGGCTATTTTCATGTCTATTGATGATGAAGACGTAACCGGGGAGGACTTGGAGTATGACTCAATTTCGGTGCCAGAATACGGAGTCATTGTTGATAAACAGGGAGAGGACACCAAGACTGGTCAAGAAGAGAGTTGCGAGTTGATTATTATTAAATAGGCGGACCAGAGATTCCAGGCTATGTATACAGAGACTTTACTACAAGTACTGGTGTCCCTTTATTGTCTATTTTAATTATTGACTCTTCTCAACAGTATACACAGCTTGTCTTTAGTTATTGTTTGGTCTGTGAGAGTTGTTCTGATGTTCTATAAGATTACTTTCATGAAATCCAAGGCCTGATCCTTAACTATCCAAACGAAAAATACTAGCTCCTACATCTAGCCAGGGCCCCGTTTGGGCTACCTAGTCCATGTGAAGACCCTTGTATAATTGACCCTAACATACTTCTGCTGCTTGGACATTCTTGCACTGCCTCTGTTGATCCTAGACTTAAGCCAATCATTACGTGGACAAGCCACATTGATTTCAACTGCCTAATGCGTAGTCTCAGCCTAAGTAGGTCGTGTCAGCGGCGCGCACAAAACATTAGAAGGATGTGGCAGTAATAAAAAGGCCGGCGGCATGTGGTTAGTAGTGTAACCATGGTTGGCTTAGTGCCTTGGGCTGAGTATCGTAATGCCGTGATAGGGTAGCTTCATGACTGCATGTTTTATCCATAAGCGCCAATCAATCGTTAAAGTTAATCTCAGTGTACAATGCAAACACTACGTTGTTCAAGATTATATCATGACCTAATCTGACGGCTGCTGAGGAGTGTCACGCTGATAACTGGCAATTTCCTGCCATCGGACACCCGGTTACCTTACAAGACGATGGCGCCGATATAACATGGAGTCTCCAGAGCATGTCCTTCTCCTCAGGAATTTGCTGGATCAGGGAGGTTACTCACACGCTAGCAGTCTAGATAATTATTATTGCTTCAATTCGCTCTCTAGACAAAAGGTTAACTTAACTCCATTTAAGTCTACTAAAGTGATAGAGGTATTAAACTTAAGTTTAACACTAAGACTTTCTAGAGCCTTTATAATAGTAAGGTAAAGACCTTCCTTAAGCTTCAAATTAATATCTATAACACTTTTAATAAGAATAATATATAGGTTTATAAAGTACTTAAGTATATTTAGCAGTTTTACTGTAATTTTAATATCTATAAAGCTATTACTATATAGTATTATAGTATTATAGGCTTTATTAATCAATAGTAATTATAGACTTTTAATATAAGACTTAAACTTAATAGCTTTAGAAAGTAAATTAATATTAAAAATATACTTAAAGTTAAAAACACTTTTAAGGTAAGGTGCGTGATAAGCGAGTGAGTCAGACAAGTGAGTGAGTCAAAAATCCCTCATCCTACATCAATACCATTTAATCAGATATTTCATCACCACCTAACATATTACAATCTTCAAATGAAGCTAGAATCCTTCTTGCACTCCAGGCCATTCAAAATAACCCCAAACTCAAGGTGCGACGAGCTGCGGATATCCATAAAGTTAACCGCTATACCTTACAACGTCGCCATAATAGCATTTAATTATAACGCAATTATATCCTAAAGTCACGGAGACTATCTAATCTAGAGGAATAGATAATAGTTTAATTTATTTTTAACCTAGATTCGCGAGGATTTCCCTCGCGACTGCGTTTTATTAAAGAAATAGCTAATTCTCTGCTAGCTGACTGCAATACATTACCTATTAGTAAGCGCTAGGCTTATAACTTTATAAAGCGATAACTAGAGCTAAAGATGCATTTATTTCAGCGATATAACTATCAGAGAGCTAAATGCGAAAATCTAACTATTATTTGCAGATAGTTTAGGCTTATATAGAATATAATTGCAAAGTATAGTATTTAATCAGATAATATCTAGAACTTTAATAAGACTGGCTTTATAATGGGTATTATTATAGCCGGAGTAGTTATTATAGGCTCGGAAAGGCAAGGAAGGCTAAAATCAATATAGCCTAGAAATCAGGAATAGATTATAGTAATCCAGGCAATTAATACAGAAGGCCAGTTAATTATACTATTTATTATTAATGCAGGCTAATATTACCTTGCAAATTAATACTAAGAATATAACCTCCTAGGCGATTAGGTTATTATAATAAGCTAAAATAGATAGATAAATAATAAGCTAGGTCTTAAGTAGCTAAAATACTTTAATTACTCTATAATTAACCGATTAACTAGTCCCTATTATCTTCTAATCCTTAATAGTTATAAAAGCTATTACTCTGCTAATTTTAAGAGATATTGCAAGGAGAATAAGATTATTATACTCTATATGCCTGCTTATATATCTTATCTACTCTAGCCTCTTAATATTAGGTATTTTATAGTATTAAAAAAGGCATATAGTTAAGAAATAGAGCATTTAATTAGATGCTCTATAATCTATATTTTAAAGACTAAGTTCTTCCTGGCCTTTTATGCCGCATTTTAAGCCACTTTTACAGAAAGCAATATCCAGGGAGGTTTTAGAGGAGCTAGGCTTACTCTTTTTAACCCAGAAAATATAATCTTAAAGCTTAATATGCAGCTATAGACTTTAATGCCGCCTAAGGAGGCTACTAAACTATTAAGCTCTTAGACTTTAAAGACCCTAATAATAGCAATTAAGGCTTAATCTCAGTCTAAATACCTTAAAAGGCAAATCAGAAGGCATAAAAGCAGCTCCCCAGAGTTAATAATTAAAGCTTTAAAGTCTAATACTAAAGCAATAAAGGCAGCTATATATCAGTTAGCCTTAGTAGAGGCCAGGTTAAAGGATCTTAAATAAGTAAATAAGATACTAAGCTAGCGCCGAAGGGCAAAAAGGACTAGACTATAGAAAGGGGGGGCTATAATTATATAAGAAGTATTGCAAGTAATTAATCAGATAGATATTAATGCGCAGGTAATAGCTAAATTATCGAAAAGTGGTGGTCAAGGAAGGTCGGCGCGACCGGGTATTCGGCGTTGTAGTGTATGCGGTAAGACCGGGCATAATGCAAGGACCTGCCAGGTAGTTAATAAGACATCTGGGGAAGAGTATAGTGAGTAGTTTCAATTGATTAGATGGTTTATGGCGTTTTTATTATAATACCTAACTTAAAGGTTAAGAAAAGTGGCTCACTCACTTGTCTGACTCACTCGCTTATCACGCACGTTAATGTAAATATATCTAGCTTAAATGTAGATAGACTTGCTTTTGTTATTGCTACAGTAACATGTGAACTCTATTTTAAATTACTAATTACTATTTACCTACATATAAGTTATCGAAAGAATAATTGATTAAACTCTTTCCTCCCCTTGTTATTTTCTAGGCCTGTTATTGGTATTTAGTGTTAGTTCCCTGTCAACTTGGGGTTGGGGTTCGTTTGTTTTCGACCCAATCATCGCCGTTGTCCTGGGGGAATTTTGTCCTGGGGGAATGGCCCGTGCATTACCCGCGACCTCCATACAATCTCGCTAACCCCAAGTGTTTGTTCAGCCAGAACGACGCCCGGAGTAGTCCTACAGTCCAAAATCAATTGTTGTACAATTGATTTAATTTACCCCACTTTACCGGGGGTTGACTTGAATTTGGAAAAATGAACTAGCGTTGGGTTAGACTCGACTTTGGCAGGGGGTTGACTTGATTTCTGATTGGTGCTTGATTGCACCTTCAGACAGGACAACACTTAGACAACAGCGCGTCAACTCTCTTACTCCGGTTTAGCAGTGTCTATCACGACACATGTGAGATACAGGTAACAATTCAAATTCATTCTAAGCAGAAACGGGTTATCTATGTAGTACTTTTAGGAGTAATACTTTATCAAAGACAAGCATTAAAACAAAGCTAAAAAAAAATATATAAAAAAAAAAAAGGTTAGGAAGTTATTAACAGCCGCCTCAGTAAATTAGGTATCGAGGAGCTCATTAAGCAACATAGGACAAATAATTTAAAGGCTGAGGTCAAATAACTAGCAAATGGTAGAACATTCAGAAGCCCTTTTATTCGACTAAACAGTCGACGCAATTGTATAATTCCCTTCACCAGATTGGAGTGGCACAATTGGATAAGACACTTGTAAGCAAGCGAAAGAGACGGTAGCACACTTTCTCTTCCGCTGTACAAAGTAGACATCATATCGCGCACAAATGCTTCGAAGTACGGACATGAGAAAAACCAACTAAGCATTCTATCTTGGAGGTAGGACAACATCAGATCCCCAAATCTAGATACTAGACCTAGAGGCCATTCAAGTAATCGTAAGATACGTCATAGCTACAGGCCATCAGCACTACCACTGGCGTCAGAGCTATCCTCAGAAGCAAACTGGACTTGAAACCCATAAGTGTTGCGTACGACACGAAGCACCAATTCGCCTGCCCCACCTTCAATCATGCCATTGAGCACCTTGGCAGCAGCCTGCATCAGAAATTTCCCCTTTCCTTGTTGATCATCACTTGCAGCCATGAATATATACCCCACAACAAACGGTAGTTCGCTCTCTTTCTCGATGTAAGTGGCAGTGTACAGCTGCTTCAAGGTGAAGTCACAAGCATCTTTGACAAGACGCAAGAACTTCCAACACTGCCGATGCATGAGCAGATATGGGAACGAGAACTCTAAGGTTTCCGCTCCCAAGGCTAAAACCAGAGACCTGAGAAGTTCGCCTGGAGGCAACTGGGCCTCTCCAGACATCTTACCCTGTCTTGGCTGGCGCTTCTTCCTCAGCTCCTCTCGATCATCGATTGGAGTAAGCATGAGAGTGTTGTTTGTCTCTGATCCTTCTTCCTGGAACCTGCTACGCCAGATGATCTGGTCGACATGCTCGGGCGACAGGTCATCCTTACCTGAACCTTTTACATACCTTTCAACAAACATGCATGATACTGGAGCGCCATCCTTAATGCAGCGTGGACCAGCACGAGAGGCCAGGTCGTGGTGTCTCCCAGGCCGCTGTAGTAGACGGTTTCCAGCAACAGCGAAAGTTGAAGCAGAGTAACCCATCTGCAGAAGAAAGCGTTTTAGGTAGCCTTGCCTGTTTTCCGACTGTTCACCGACGAATAAGTTGGAGCTTCCCAGCAAGGTTTGGACAACGTCCATATCTATCCAACGTCCTTCGAGAAGGCCTTCATTTTGAAGGGCATTATACAGATGTGCAGGGTACGTGATCGAGCCCCAGGCGTTCATGATGGCAATACCAAGATTATACATCTTAGCTCGGAAGTGATATAGCATAAGCCCGCAGAGTATTGGGGAGTGAACGAGTATACGGTGTCTTCCAGATTCCGTAGCTAGGCCTGCAGCTCCTTGCGAGACTATTTGTTTGGCTAGGAAGACTGGATCTTGGCCGAACCATTGTAAGGACTTTTTCAATTCGCGGAGAGCGCGCTCATTTGAAGCAGGCCAGTTTTTAATTTTCAAGTTCTCGTGGAATTCGATATGGCTACTCAGCTCGTTGTCCATCGCAGTCGTGTGCTTGAGCAGACTGTCTAATGCACTGGATGCGCGATCTCTGATGACGTGATGAACGTCCAAGAGGATTTGGGTGGCGTAGACAAGGTAAAAGGGTATGTTTCCAGTAGCATCCAGGTCTCGGATTCCTCGAATGAAGTTGTCTTCAACTGGATAGTTAGGAACGAGACAAGCGAGCGTGACGGCCTCGGTGAAGAACTCGGATAGGATGATCTGATCCTCTTTGAACTTGGCTTGACCTTTCTTGGATGTTCGATCACTCTGGGGATCGTACGTTCCAAACATGCCTTCCTTGTAGATTGGTAAATAGCTTGGAGATAACACCCTAGCCAAGCCATCAAGCAAAAGACTGGCATTCAGGTAGGTTTTGTCCGCGACATCATAAACATCTTCATTTTTGCCAGCTGGGCCCCATGAAAGAATGTCATTCTCTGAAAATCCATCTCGTATACCACAGATAAAAGAGAACCTCTCCAAAATAGTGCTGGCACCGCCATGCTCTTCAAAAATTGGGAGCACTTGGTCAATAAGATTTCGAGCCAGATCGATCCCAGTATTCGTGGCAACGGCAGTGTTGGCGAGATCGAAATGTCCATCTCGGTAATTGGACCAAATCCATCCGATATAGGACCTAATCTGGTTGAGGTCGCTCACCATGATCGTGTACGTTACCAAAGCATCTTCAAGCGATGTCTGAGGTTCGGCCTCGTAAATGGTGTCATCTCCTTGTGCGTTCTTTGGACGATCGATATCAGGGATCTCTGGCAACTCCGGGGACGATTCGTAAATTTTGAGACCGCTGAAGCGATTACCCAAGTCCTCCGATGAATGAGAAGATTTAGTTCCAGCGGGCATACGAGGCCTGAGGACATCTCTAACCTTTTCCAGAATCCCTACGAAGAAGGAATGAGTAGTATCCGATTTGGTGCTTGGATTCATTCCATTGTCCATTAGTTGGGCGCCAAACTTGGCCCGCACATGTATGACTCTGTCGAGAGTTTCGGCGAAGGAAGGGGGAACTGAGATGAGTGGTTTCGAAGCGAAAATGAATTCAGCCAGAGGGATAAAGTCCTTGACGGCAATGACGTACTTCGGAATAGTATGTAGAGGAGTTGGAACGGAGGCTTTCTGCTTCTTGGCATCTCTTCTGGCCTTTCCTTTCAAGCGGCCCGCTCCCTTTGTCTGGATGCCAGTAGGTGTGAGTAAGTTTGAAGGGTATCCGCGGGCCTTTGCTGTCGAAGCAAGCCAGGAAGCCACCGAGTCGGTGTCTTCCTTGTATTGCTGATAGATGCTAAACAGAGAACTGGGCAGCATCTTGACTTGGTGCCATGTCCCTAAGTTTATTTGTTGTTCGGGGCCCGCTTACCCTGTTTAGCGCTTATGGGATGAAGCTAACTTGGGTAGGCGATTATCAATTTAATATTGTGAGAGAAAGCAAATGACAATAGATTTGAAAGAAGTTAATAAATCACTGTCCAACGAGATTCCGCCGTACAGTCAGGTTTGGGATACTGAGAGGGCTAGAATGGACAGGGAGATGCAATGAACTTTAGACAGCATAAGTCAGGTGCTCTCGGATGTGCTGTGTCTTATCACGAGTATTAGTTTCTGGTTGTCGTACACCCGTCGTCCGGTTGGTTAATGTTCTCGAGGCGGCATGACGTGGTCAGATATGCTTGGCTGCCCATACTCTGTGCGCGGACCAGCTATTTTACTGCAGCTCACTTAGGCGCCTGTACCCCGATTTTGATTGGAGCCCTCAACTTACCCTGCTTGAATTTTCATAATCTGTAACTATGTAAAGCTGAAAACTTTTACCCAGGACTAGGAGATCCAAGCCACGAGACCTGCTGCATGGATGCCTGGGCGCCAAGATCTTGAATTGGGCTCTTCAGGCCAACACAATTTGGACAGCAATGAATTCGTTTGGTTAGTGTATGGCTTGAGTGACGATTTATCTGATAGGTGAATTTTATTCGCTCAATGATCTGCGCATGACAATTCGATGGCAACCTGGAAAGCTCAGTAACTGCAGTTTTCTCAACATTACCTTTGTAACAATTATCTCAAACCATCACGTCAAAAGCGACTTCAAAATGCTGTGCCTTGATATACCGGTTCCCCGCTGCGTCTAGCGACTCGTCTCTGAGCCACCGGTTTGCTTGTCAAATGAGTAGGACATTAAAGCCGTAAGTCTTATAAGGAATTTTGGTGATGAATTCAAACGACAGAAAGACGAAATTGAGTAAGTATATAGTCTTGCCTCTAGCCAATTGGACTTGGTTATACTTCTGGAGCGACCGTATAAATTATAAACCTACTAAGGGGCCTTTAGCGACTTTATGAAGCGATGCGAGACGCTTAAGCGGGTTAATAAGCTTATTAGATTTAGTTCTAATAGAGCTTGGAGTATTTATACTGTTACTATTCTCGATGCATTTTCTTTTAAACCTAAGAACCGCGAGGATTTAAGGTATATTCCCTCAGAGCGATGCTATCAGCTGATCGAGGAAATTCTGAAGGTTAAAAAGCCTAAAGTTGTTCTCTGTTGTTGGAATTAACCTTGCGAATATCCTTTTGTTGCTTAATTTAAGTCGGATAGGGTTAGCATATGGCTATTTCGCCATTAAGTGGATATAGAAGGGTTTTCTATAATCGTAATGCGGTTATTCTACCCAGCTGTGGCCGTCTGCTATGATAAGTCGCGCAAGGCCTGTTGCCGAATGCTGCTCATCTGTCATTTCGTTCTAGCATTTGCCGAACTGGCAGGCTTAACTGCAGTCCCTGACTGGATGGAGACGGTCTGTGAAGACAGTCGCAAAGAATTCTTGTAAGTCCCCAGCTTTCTACCTTCACGAATGCAGTCTAAGCTCTTAGGGAACCCCAACGTAATGGTTTGAGAAATCTCGATAGTTTGACGAAGATGCCTGTTATTTTAAACATTCTACGGAAGATGATGGGACTCAAGAGAGAGCAAATGGTCTATCTACTCTCTGAAAATATAGATGCTGAACATCAACGCCGGCAGGTAAACGCACTGTTGAGGCAGTTGTTTGCTCAAGGCTACAACCAAGGAGCCCAAGATACCACATAGCTCTGTCTTTTATGGAGGAATTACAAGTATTACCAGCACTCCACGCGGCAAGACATACTCAGCCGATTTATAAAGCTTGGAAGCCAGCAAGGGTCGTACCAGGGCCAGAAGGCCGTCTCGACGTTTTCGCCTGCTCGCAAAAGCTACTACGTTGGGTTTGCAGACGATCAAGATGATGACGACCTTGAGGAAAATTTGGCTTCTTTGAACATTCATGAAAATGCATTATTAGTCGAGGATGAGTTAGTGACTCTTGCGCGGCTGAAAACGCGACTTTCTCATCAGAAAGACCTACTTCAGAGAATTGAAAATGCTGCAACTGAAGTATCATCTCACATTCAGTTGAGCGTCGAACTTCAAATTACTATTCTTAGCCAGGATAGAGTCGATCTCTCAAAGAATATCGCAGAACTAGCTAAATATATGTATCGCTGTCTGGAAGAGGTAACTGGACAAATCATGGCAACACCATTGGTTCTAGCTGGAGAAGCAGGGTTAGTCCATCACGAGGAACAGCCGATAAGATCCTTGTGTCAATGCCCCGATGCTCACAGTAACATGGACTCTGTTTTCCTGGATGTTGAAGTATTATTAAACCGGGCATTTCGCTGCATATTGCTTTATTTAGGATTAATCGCTTAGGGGAGAATTCTTTTTAACCTATCATAAGATTCAGATGACGATATAATAGAAACACTCTTCGATATACCTAGCAATCTTGAAGACATGTCGGCAAAGATCAAGTCTACTCTCGATACTTTACTTCTTCTCCGGGAGCAATTGGATAATCCTAGCAAGCTGTTTGAATGCAAAAGCCACGTCAAGCTACTATATAAAGACAAAGGTCTTAGTGCATTATACGGGCAGATTTGATACCAGGCTTTATTACATTAGCCCTCTGCCGATTTATAATTGATGTTATAATAGTCTATCTGCGAGAGACTTTTAATCTTACTCTGATGGAATTATACAAGAAATCGCAATTCTTACTAAGGAATCAGCTGTATCCACTCCCCGTGTTTCAAGGTTACACACTGTTAGGTTAATAAGCCGAGAGTTGTTAGAGAATGATTATATGCCGGCACTTAATATTCGATATTTGTTTAATAACTGATTAACTAAACGGACTTATTCCACTTGAAAGAATACACTTCGTGGAGCTTATAAGGTCTCATCTAATCGTTGGGACGGTTGGCAAGCGGTTTTATCTCTTAGTAGGCTGACACCTACTTAGCCTTACCGCCTTTCCCATACTATGAAGTAAAGATATCGCAGGATTGTATACCAAATTCAACCAGCTACATCATTCCAATTCCATGCATAGTTCCTAGTGGATTTAACTTCATAATCTAGGAACTTCTAGCAGATATATTACTGATGTATGATTTGCTTATGTTTTGGCATGGAGAATATACTACACAGCCATAAAATAATTTTAGGTAGGTGCGACAGCTAAAGGTACCTAAGCAGCATATATGTGCCTTTATTAGACTCTGTCACTTTGCGCTACTGCTCTATCATCTCGTTAAAGGCTAGACATATTTAGATGGTTTCTGTACCTCCCCAGACTAGTGCTCTTTCTTTTCCTTACCCGTCCATTCGTCCTCCCAGAAAAACTCACTTCGTGGTCCGTTCAAAAACAGTCGTTGGTACAAAACTTCACCCCTCCATGGCCTTTCTTCTAGACGGTTCAGGCTGCAATTGCGAAGCCGTCATAGTGATTGTTATAGTGACTTAGTCACTAATAGTAAGATCTGAATAACGATTGTGCTTCGATTGACGATGAAACTTTCAAACAGTGTAGCTCCATAACACTTTACGCGAGAGGACGCGTCGCGCTACAGGGTAAGCCCCTGTTCTGATCAGCACTACTATTTCCATATACGGAATAACGTTAAATCAACTCTACACCCTGGCAATAATCAACCCTACAAGGTTTAAAGTGGATCAATAAAATCAACTCTACTAGAGTTGATTTGGTCATTACGGTCATCCAGCATATTTCTGGCATTAACCTTGCAAGATAACCTTGTCTAGTAGACCTGTGCTCAATATATTTTTCAGTTTGATCTGTCGCACAGAATACAATCCTTATCTTGTCCCTTCTCAGCCTGCTAATTGGGGGGCTTTTCTATCCGTATGTTTGCTACGGACGAATTGCTTTAACCAACTTCAGGTCCTCTGAAGCTTGTGCGCCGGTGCGCTATTGGTTTTCAAAGCCCGCGTCAGATGGTTGGTGTTCGCCTACCATGTGCAGGGGCCACCATCACAGTGAGTGCCAGGCACAGATACCCAAGTGCGTTCTCTGCAGCGGTCCGCATGAGTCATTCAGCAGAAATTGCCTGAAACTTCACCCCAGGCGGCATGAGTAGGTCGTTCCAGGTAATGCAACTGAATGTGAGAAAGCAGGATACGGTACACGAGAGCCTCATGAACGATAAGCAACTTCAAGATTACGCAGTAATAGCGATCCAAGAGTCCCAGGCACACCAGAAGGACGACAAACTACTAACAGTCCCTATGGGGCACCCCAGATGGGTTAAGATGGTCCCCACGATTTGGAGAGAGGGCAGATGGCCGATCCGAGCATGTTGTGGGTAAATAAGGATGTGGAGGCGGAGCAGATACCGGTCGAGACAGCGGACATGACGGCAGCCATCTTGCGACTCCCTGCGCGGTTGGTTCTGGCTGTTTCGGTTTACGTACCAGGAGGTGACGTTCAGGCTTTGCAAGACACCAGTAACGCTCTACGTCAGGTTATTCCAAACACAAGAAGACAGGCTGGTAGTCTGGTGGATGTGGTAGTTGTTGGAGACTTTAATCGGCACGACCAGCTATGGGGAGGAGACGATATATCCTCGACGAGGCAAGGCGAGGCGGATCAGATCATCAACCTTATGAATGTGTTTGATCTTATGAGCCTGCTCCCGAGAGGAACGAAGACGTGGAGCGGTGGAGGCTTTGAGACAACAGTCGATCTGGTCCTTGCTTCCGCGGACCTAGCGTCTTCGACTGTCAAGTGTATGATACACGGTACAGAGCACGGATCCGATCATCTTGCTATTAAGACAGAGCTCGACGTCTCCGTCCGGGTGCCCCAAGCTCAAGAACGGCTCTTGCTCAAAAACGCACCATGGAAGGAAATCAACGTTCGAATTGCCGCCGCATTAGAGTCCATCCCGGAGGAAGGTATTCGTGTCGGAAACCAAAGATGAAGGCACGTGCAGACACCTCTTGTTTTGTGTGTTTCTCCAACGGTGGAACAGTCGTCCCGCTAACTCGCCAATGCGTCCCATTAGTGCTGCGGAAGAGGGCCAGGAAGGGGTTGCCTTGAAAGATCCGAGTGCCAATTGTTTCAGCATGTTCTACTGAGAGCTGGAGTAGCTCAGGGTTACCAGCGCACAATATGGCCTGCGAACCGCGGTCTCTGCTTGATGGCATAGAATCAACACTCGTGTCATAACACGTCCACCGCCATGATGCCTCAATCGACCACTACCACGTCGTACACACAGTCTACCGTACCCGTGCCTATTCGTGTTGTCACAGGGTACAACACCAGGACCTGCCTTCATGCTAGGCACATTAAGCGTCAACTTCAACGAAGGGAGTATGGAAAGGCTTCTGAACTTGACCATCATTACTACCATACGTTCGACAGAGTGTCAATCGCCCTTACACATGTGTTCCCAACCACGATACGTTCCTCGAAACCTCACCCCTTTCCATTCGTTCTGGCACCCTTCACCGCCCATTTCTTTCGCAATCTCGAGGACTACAAATAACTGTATCTCAATCTCCATTGAGAATAACTCCACCCCCTCCTCCTGACGGCACTATTAGTCAGAACAGTGCAGGCGCGAAAGGAGTTCGTTTGGACACTCCTTCATGCTGTATATTTCGAGGGCTTCACGGCGGGTAAGCCACTCAGGATGGTCTAATTGTGCTGCAATAGCATTAAGTATATCATCCGGCAACTCTGGTCGCTTGCCTAAGATCTCAATAGCTGTTTGTTAAACGGATGAATTTTGATCTTCTAGCCCTGCTGCGATAGCCTCACATAAACGTAGCTCGAATATCATCCGATGGTTTGCTTGACCTCTCCTCCTACAATTGCTGCGTCATGCGTTGCGCCTCGCTTGCCGATAGATCTCTTTTCTGCATTGCCAGGGAAATAAGGCTGCGGCCGATAGCCTCTGCCAAACGATATGATTGCCTCAGGCTTTTGTAACATTGAATGGACAAAACCAGGTAGAAGCGCCAGGCAGGGTCTTCCGCATCGTCGAGTATAGCGTTCGTGATATAGACCAGTGCCGTGTGCCAGAGCATCGTATAAGTTGAAGTTGCATAGTTATTACCATTACCAGGCGCTTTGGTTGATTCACCGATGCTTTATAAGCCGCATCCGGTGAGTTCCTCTTACAGGAACTAACAAAACAGTGACTGACGAATTAGAGGCTGCAAAGCTGGAGCGTCCCTAAGGACAATGCGCCCCTATCAATTGCCTAGTTTGAAATTCACTTGAATACAGTCCCATAACTTCTGCTTGTCTCATTCGTCCCTTAACCTGAACTTTTTTGAGGGACTGTGGTTCCCTTCATTAACAGCCCGTAAAAGTCCGTCGCAGGGAGGTACGCAGACGGGGGTGGCATTAATTGTGCCTTGTCAATGGAACGAAGTTCTGACTGATGGATCACAGCCCACAGGGCCTTCAGACGATCGAGCGAGTGATGTCCATCCAGAATCCAACACAGCGCAAGGCTATATACTAAACACTCCTCAACCATGTCGATCTTGACTTTTTGCCAGGCGTCCACTAGGTTCGTTATCTTGGTGATATGGCTGAAGATACTGGGTATTTACTCGCGCAGCGATGAGCTGCAAAACGAGTCGGGCTTGTTGATCCGCTTAAAGGCGTTAACAAACTTGCTAGTCCATTCATGGAGTTCAAGATCGTTGGGTGTTAGCGGGAACCAACATGTGGAAATCTGGAAAAGTTTCCGATCAAATGGACCGTCTCTATCCCCAAACTTTGTTCGACATAGTCCATTAACTTTATAAAAGTCAAAACAAGCCACTTTCCAGTTCGAAAATATAATGTCGGCGATATCCGCGTGCGCCATGCTATGCAAATGTTTCATAAAGTCGGAGGGGAGCGTACCGACTTTGATTTCCAAGGCATCAGTGATCCTAGAGTCGAGTAGAACTGTCTTTGCTAGACTGTTTTAGTGTGTCTCTTAACTAGAAACTATCTATTACCTACCCTGCGCGTTTGAGTTTTGAACCTGGTGCCGCGCCGTCAGTGCGCGTCGAACAAGGCGTTCAAGCCTCGCACGAACTTTATCGTACTCGTGGTCATGAGGTCCAAACTTGACTATGTCGGAGTGCGTACGAGCAACTCGACATATGTGCTCGCGGGCGTCTTCCCACTGACGGCAGTGTGTAGCAGAGGACTTGGTGACTAGAATTGCGGCTGGTCCGTCCATCGTCCAGTTGCCATTTTCATCCTATTTGATTAGCATGTGTGCTTTAACGTACTCGATGAACGTACTTTCTTAGCTGTTTGTGACTCCAATGTTTCATAGAAGCAGACGATCTCCATGTCGCCCTTATCCCCTAGTGATTTATGGAATTCCTGCTGTTGGATGCTGAGCTGCGAATTAATGTGACTTATGGACTCGACAAGGAAGCGGTTCGGCCCGTCCCCGACCATTGGGATAAGCGAGCTGATGTCCATGCCATCGTGAGGGACTCCGAAAAAGACGATCCCATACACTGCACGGACGAGCCTTATGTATTCCTCGGTCTTCGATTTTGACAGCAATATCAGGGTCTAACCCATGAGTTAGAATTCTGCAGACAGAAGCAAACTTACCATTAAGCCCACCTGCTTGATGATGAGTCCCCCTAAGCTATGCCCAACAAGGATGATCGGCCTGACCATCTGACTATTTGCCAGTGGGAGCAGGCTGTCACGAAACGATGTTGCCAGACATTCCAAGGTCTCTATACTCTTGCTCTGCGCAATACTAGATTCGTAGCCGTAGATCATCACCCGCGCCATTGGCTCACCGGTGTCCTTGGTGATAGCGGATGGGAGAGAATCTCGCAACCACATATAGTCACCACCCCTCTCCTTGAATGAGCCGAAGGCATGTCCGCCGAGCCCAGATATGGCAATGACACTACTGTCATCAGTATGCTACGCTTCATCGCCCTTGCTGTACTTACTCGACTTTATGATCGTCCAGAGGAGGGGCGTAGAGAGTCGTGATGCCAAAGAAGTCACCATCGAGTGCCAGGTATCCTGGGGGAATGGACTGGTTCTCAGATGACCTCGGTAGCAAGATAGACCGAGTTTGGCCGGCAGGGATTGCCTGAAGATAATAAGAGGCGTTCTGGAAGGTAACGGTGACACTTTGAGAACGGCCGTGAATTTCGGTGGCCAACGACCTGACGACAGGGCCAGTGGAGCACTCTTGGTCTGCTAGGAAGGACTCCAGACGATTGGCGTCCCAGTCGAGAGGCACACCACCGACACGGAAAGTTCTGCCATTTGGGGGGGGGGCGTTAAATCAACGCGTACAGTTCCAGATGCCGAGAAGGCAGGATTTAACTGTGGCCGGTTCGATAGATCTCGATCTACACGCCGGATGTGAGCCACAATAATCAAGACAGGATCTCAAGACCACTAAGCTTAACTTACAAGGGTTAGGCATGTAAGTAGCTTTTACACGCGCTTCAGCCACGGGTAACACCGTCAGTAATTCCCTCGCATATGATGCTGCAGCAGCCGCGGCATATCTCTGCCATTCCTTATTCTTGTGAGAGTCTAAGTAGTCGCAAATTCCCCGGATCGGTAGACAAGGGAGAATATCCATCAAGCCGGCAGCCTCCATTTCGAAACATATAACGTCCAGCTGTCGAGCAATACTGTCCCGCTGAGTGCCACTCCTCATAACTTGGTTCCCTGAGGCGATCGCACCGTAATGTATCAGCGGATCATCCGTCTCCCGTATACGCCGCCGCACCAGCTTCGAATGGTCGCATTCGTCACAGGCAGATGTTTGAGACACATGATCATATGTCGAGAGGAAGAGGCAATCCGCTGAGGCTGGGCGACGGTATTCGGAGTGTTCTTTGAACTTCTCCCTAAGAATGGATAGGATCCGGCTGCCTTCTCTCTCATGTCTTGCTCGTAAAGAGGATACGGCTGTACCTAGTAGCTGCTGAGAAATCTTCGGGATCGCTGTATGCTGCATCTGTCCGTCTCCGACGATCTTCCCTAGATCATACTGCATCACCCTCGTTCCGACAACGATGTCGCCTAAACGTATATCGGTCTTGCTCGGCACTCCACCACCAATTCCCACCATCAAGCCTGCGCGGATCGATGAGAAAGTACGGACTAGGTGGGTCAACACATTCGCTGCGTTGTTCAATCCGTACCGTCCTTCTGGCAAGCATGCGACGACAATATTGTGCTGCTTGATGTTGCCGAGTATGTAGGCGTTGCTGTCGTCCACATGCATGGGTAGGGTTTCGTGAATCTCATCTAGCATGGCGTGAGCTGCTGCCATCTCTATGTGTAGCGCGCAGATCCAAGCGATGGTGTACTGATCATGCGAGGTGGGCGAAGCGTTTCGCGACTTATGAATCCCATTGCCCCAGTCGTCTTGAAAAGACTTTTGTCGCTTTGGAGGCCGAGGGAAGCTTGCTTCAGCATGGCCTTTGTGCCAAGGTCATCTCCCATCCATCTCGGCTAGATGTCCATGTAGTTATGATTCACAAGCGCAACTTTGCTCGGGGTGTAAGCGTCGGTAGGGGCACAGATAGATACGGAGAAATGATTCAATGAAAGGCGTCCGATGAATGGCGATTATCGCAACTGAATGTTTTTTAACCGATTGTATTTGTACACTGAAGGAAGGATAGGGGGGAGGGACAATCGAGGGCGCATCGAGCAGCTAGGGACGGTGTCGCGGTCAGACTCGTGCACGCTCTGCCACCACCAGTTGGCGCTGCCACCTCCACCTCAACAAGTTAGTGCACAAGTACAGTGCCGTTGATCCGGGAGTTCAGCATCGTGGCTAGGAAATCCTGCCGTTACCTGCCTCTCAAACATTAAGTGCCTATCAGCCCAAATTAGCCGCGGTCTTCCGAATAACTGGCGAAGGTGTTTGTGGTGAAAGAGCCAGGGCGGATTCTCGATCAATGAGTCAGGACCGCGATGGATTGTCATCACTGACAACGTGGAGCAGCAACATCTTTGCGTGCGGGGAGGCCTCAGCAGCTGAAAAGGGCCCTTGTAGCTTGTGAGGCCAATAGGATTCCTGGGTAATGGGATTTGCAGCTACGCCACGTCAATCGCAAGGATTCTGCCGTGTTGGAAGTGAAAGTGCAAGACAAAGCAAGCAGATGGTGAGACAGGTGAGAATAGGCTCACTGGCACAACTTGACTTTGTGTGCACGGCTGGTCGTCGGATCACGCCGGGCGGGTTAGCTTATCCTGGCTATCCACAAGACGGATTCAAGGAGGTTATGCCACAGCCACACCCGTCATAAAATGATTGACTTCCAGAAAACTCCTGGGACCAGCACGTGGAGCCCTCGATAAGTATATAAGTATGTAAGTTGTTTTGATGGCCCTTGAGTTGCGGCTCTTTCTTGACACGGTCGACCACAAGGCTGTATCAAATGATTCAATGAACATCTTCCGCAATCGGTTGAAAAGATGGGGCACCGGAGGCATTTCTGCATTTGCGGCTGAAGTAGGCTGTGTAACCAACGGTGGATGCCGCCACGAACAGGGTCCAATCAATTCCAATGGACCAGATGAGGCTGCCATTCGTGGCTACGACGCGCCTCTTCCAAATTTGTAAGCCTGACAGTGATGCCGCAATGACTGGCGTGACTCCTTCATTATTCGCAACCGTGATGTCAGCCCTATTTTCGAGAAGCAGCTTGGCCACCTCGACGTGTCCATTAAATGATAGTATCACCGCATTCACGCGCATTCTCATTGAAAGAACGATAGCGAGCGAGATCAGTATTGGAAGGGAAAACGAGGGGAGAGAACTAACGGCTACATCTTGGATCTATGGCTGAAGCAAACGGTGCAACCAACAACATTTCCTCCCTGCGCATCATGGTCAACCAGCTCAAATCAGGCTGGGAAAGCACGCAACGGCCGACAATGTAGGAGAATGTTAAAGCAAAAACGGGTTGATTATGTTGTTGTTAGTTCTAAGTTACATGTGTCCGAGAGGAGCACAGCTCCTTACATAGTATCCACATCCTAGCCACCCGCAGATCGGACCACCTTAGCCACACTGTCTCAACAGAGAAATGGTCTGTTTCACGTCGAGTCTACTCCCGATGACCCGCCCCGCAACCTAGGCAATGTAAGCTGGTGAGGCCAGCACGCTCACCACGATGTTTTATGACGAAGGCACGGCCCGCAGCGCATGCTTAGACAAGAACTTGCTAACTCTACCCACGCGCGGTAGGCACAGTGCACAGCATGGTAATGATGTACGGGGTGCTCGCATTTTGTGACACTCAGCCAATCATGCACAAGGCTCTCTGTTAGGCACACAGATCCCCTTTGGCAATCTCCTTGACTGCGCGGGGGCTACCATCGCGTACCGGACAGGGGCTTGATCCAATCAAAATGCCGCAAATGAAAGGTACTTCTTTTCCCACCTATTTTCTATGGTGATATAAGTCAAAGCAATACACCGAGTTACATAAAGCAACGTCACACAGCCCGCAACCGTACCTCGATTTTGGCGCCTCCTTCCTGCCCCTATTTCCGTTAATCTCGGCCAAGGCACGCTCTTGTGCTTGTGATCTCGCAACACCACAGCGATGGCCTAGGCAGGCGTGGCAGCGGCTATTCTTGGTGCGCCCTCTGTAGATAAGCTGATGGTCCGGATGACTGAGGTTATCGTGATCTGATCTATATAGCTTCCTTCCTTTGTAATCGGGGCTGAAAGCGGCGATGAGGGCATCAACAATACAGCTTCTCCACGCCGTTTGTGACTTGTATCTCTTCCAACTTGGGTTGCCGTGAAGCTGAAGAAGATAGCTATTAACAAGAGCTATTTCAAGGAAGAAAGTCCAAGCTAGAGCCTGCCAAGGGCCCCGACGAATGCGGTGATTATGACCTAATGATGCCCTTAATTGGTCTCCTCGGTCGACATGATTCATTTCATCGTTATAGATAGCAGCCACCAAAGGGATATTAAAGACCTTCACGGCTTCGTCACCAAAAAAACGCTGTATGGGGCGTGCACGAGCTTCCATTGTGTTGGGCCATTTCCTCTTGCGCTTAACGAGCTCGTCTCCCTTAAACACAGAAGTCAGGAAGAGCACGAGGGAGTTATCCTTCCACGCGATTTGATTCACCTGCCACGCCAAGAGACAAGTTAGTGACAAATTAGTAGGGGAATTACATGTAAATATGTCTTTCTTCCTTGCCTTGTGATCGACTGTTGGGGCCTTTCGTACCTCCCCAAATCGAAGAAGGTTCCGGCTAGCAGTGTCATCGACTTTGAGTTGCACAAAGGGCTTGTAAATACCACAGTTGCGGCGGGCTGTGCCTGTAGCCCCGTGGCCTAGCCTTCGTAGATGTGTGAAGAGATTTGCAGAGGAAAATAGGTTATCGATAAAGACGTGATAACTGGCTTTGGGCAGCTTATTAACTAGGGCAACGACCACACTTTGTGTCGGATTCAGAGGCGTATAGAGTCCCCTTCTTCTCTGACTGCGTAGCTGAAGAGAAAGCTGAATGGGGTCCTTCTTCTTTACCAGGGCAACTGGCCTATATCTCTTCTTTGGATGGTGCCAAATCCACTGCAGGAAGAAGCCTTTTTGAGCCGCAACCCAAGACTTGAAGCCAAGAGGCGTGGGTTTATTTGGGACCTTTGTTGTCTCGTAGGACCTTCCTGTGAACAGTGTTGCGAACAATATGGCAATAAAGTAGTATATTGCAATACATACCATATATTATGCCTTTTCTGATATTGTGATAATATGATATGAAGTCTACGATATTGTGACAATATAATATGAGGATGTCCATATTGGCAATATATTATCTGTATTGGGCTGTTAATTCTTGGGTGAATTAGCCCCGTGAAAGCTGCAGAACTCGGCCTTACCCTATATAAGAAGCAGGGATAGCTGGCATTTTATTGGCCATCGTTCACTTCCACGCACTTCTTTGTTGACAATTAGACCTAACACGCGATTACGCATGAAAGAAACGCGTGAGGGAGTGCAGACCATGTTGGGTTGGGCCATCTTCGCCTCTGCTCCCCCCATTTCTTTTTTTTGTTTTGTTTTTTTTGTTTTTTGAAAATCACTCGTCGAACTCAACTTTACAGATCTAACTGCCATGCCTTAACAACGCCTCTCTTTTGCGCAATGGTTACAACGAAGAGGGTCGTCAATTTCTGGCGACCTTCTGGAGTTTTCTAGCCAGCAATCGGATAATCTGGACGTAAGCCAAAAGTCCAAGTGCCTGTCATCTCGACCTCGCACCGTCTCCATAACCTCCTCTACCAAGCCCAGAGTATCATGGGTCTTCTCTCATATGCTAGACGAGGAGGTAGAGACGAGATACTATAATTAGCGGACCGGAAAGGAAGAGTGGCGCTGTAAACATTGAGACAAAACCTATGCCTCTTCAGGGGGTACTGCAGCTCCTGCAAAATATCTCATGGACCCTCCTCCTGACGGTTACGGCCTGCCAAAAGGAGCCCCGCGAACAGCGAAAGTTACAACTATACGAACTATTATTGAATAAGCTTGTGTTGCAGCAGAAGAAAATCCCCGAAAACGCCGTCGACTTAACGATTAATCCGGAGACTTGATCGAACCCGACCAGCTCGAGGCGTTATACGTGAGGTTTATTATGGCCTGCTCTCTCCCATTTCGGCTCGTGGAATGCCCAGAGTTCCGAGCACTCTTGGCCTATATTAATAACGTTATCGAGACTTGGCTTCCGGATACGCATGATACCGTCAAGACATGGATTATGCGCTAATATGAATGCCAGAAAGAGAGGGTTAAGCAGCGCATATAGTCGGTAAAGTCAAGAATTTACATTAGCTGCGACCTTTGGACTTCTCCTAATTCTTTGGCCATTTTAGGCGTAGTCGCACACTATGTCACGGAAGATGGTTAGCTGGAATACTATGTTTTGGCGTTAAAAGACATCGACAGTGAGCACGATGGTTCTTATCTCGCTGTGGCCATTTTGAAGGTGGTTAACGAATGGGGCATTGCTTCCAAGCTTGGATATTTCGTGATAGATAACGCTGGCAATAACGACACCATGATAAGATCCCTTTCGCTTGGTCAGTATAACTCACTATTTCTCCTGACTGGCGGCCCTAACATCCCACAGGCCTCCTACGCCGATATAATATCCAATATAATCCTAAAGTGCACCGACTCCGCTGCCAAGGCCATATTATTAACCTCGCCGCCAAAGCCTTCCTCTTCGTCACCGATAATAAGAAGCTCGAACTTGACGATCCTGGTGTGCATAATGTGACACTAAAACATATTAAAGCGTGGCGGAAAAAGGGGCCTCTTGGCAAGATTTATAACTTCGTCGTTTTTATCCAACGAAGTATCCAGCGCAGCTAAAAGTTTCTTACTATTAGCTATAACCATAAGCTTACACGGGATAACGATATAAGATAGAGTTCGTGGTATAATATGCTGCGAGTAGCCCTGAACCTCAGAGATGCGATTGACGGCTATTTCAATAAATAGATAGAATTAGATTGCGCTGGAGATGAGCTCTCTTTAGAGGACTGGATCATCTTGGAGAAAATCAAGTCCTTCTTAGAGAAGCTGAAGATAATGACCAAGGCTCTCGAGTCATCGTTTATAACACTCGATAACGTCCTCTTGGCTATGGATTTCGTTTTGGCATAATTTGAAGCAGGGAAGGAGGCATATATTGACAATCCGATAATAGCGTCTATGTATAACTCTGGCTGGGCCAAGTTGGACAAGTACTACCGGCTCACTGATAAATCGCCTGACTACGTTGCCGCTATTGTGCTCCACCCTTCGCATAAATAGCATTACATATAGGAGAACTGGAAAAAGGAGTAGGTTAAGTCATTAAAGAAGTTAATGGAGACGCTGTGGAATGACTATAAACCCGTGGAATTACCTCTTCCTCTCTGCGAAGTCCCACCGACGACCACGAACGAGTTCTTGAACTGGAGGAACAAGCACCTGCAGCCGTCGCTTATCACGGATGAATATGAACGATATTACAACTCTGAACGGGTTTACGGGTTTATAAGCGCCCTTGCATGGTGGCTAGAGGAGATACAGCAGAAAAACTACCCAAACTTGAGTAAAATGGCGGTAGATATACTGTCAAATCCCGCAATGTCTGCTGAGCCCGAACGACTCTTCTCCGGGGCTAAGATAACCATTACAGATCGTCGAAATCGGCTTGGTAGTAATGTAGTTGAAGCTCTGGAGTGCCTGAAGTCATGGTTTAGGATACAAGAGCTTCAAGGTGATATACTTTAGCTGCCGCAGCAGAATAACCCAGATCATGTGCAATATATGGGATATATTGTCATACTGGCAATATATTGGGTTCTTGGCAATACAATACAATATAGGCCAATATCATATGGCCTAATATAATATGCACCACTTGGCAATATAATAATATTGCGAGGCTTCCATATTGCCAATATACGTATTGTTTATATTATTCGCAACACTGTTGGGAGCGATCAGCTCATTAGTGCCATGATATGGCTGGCGGCCCCGAACTCTCATCTTGTTGTAGATGGTGCCAGAGGGCAGGCAGTTCTTCGGGCCAGTACATCCAGTAAACGCGTACATAAACATTGTGCTCACTGGAAGCACGGATCTCGAGGATGCGCGCGACCCACTCACCATTAGACTTTTTGTAGCCACTTTCGCCATCGTTTGTGGCCTTTTGATGGTTGACAGTTGACTCGTTGGCGACATAGACGAAGCCGTCTCTGTAGTACTTGATGCTATTAACTGCCAAGAATTACGCATAAGCGCGTCATACTTTAGAAAATGCCGCAGTTCATCGAATACTTACGAACGAAGCTGTTGTAACGCGTCATATCTTGCCATCGCTTTATAGGTTCGACTGTGTAGTACACGTCCAGACTGTCGTGAGCTTCGAAGCTGCCTGTTGGAGAGAAGGGGGAGATTTGAATTTGAAATTTTTTATCTTCATCTTGGTCGTTGTGTTTTCGCTTCTTGTTGTTACGACGTCCCTTATCTGCGTCTGATGGGCCTGGCGCGAAAGTGATTGTGAAAGGACAGCCTGCGTGCGTCTTCTCCTGAACGGACCGCGATCGCTTTCGATTGCTCATTGTCGCGTTTTGATGCGGTCGGGTTCCGCCCACGACCAGAGTCGGGACAAAGATAGGTGTTTGGAGGCAAACAACGAGTCACGCAGTGAAAGGGTGACGAATAAGAAGTAGAGGAAGGACAGACAATGAAAGGATGCAGAGACGATTGTTGTGTCAAACATAGTAAATTTGTGGTGTCGCGTTCTGAGCTGCGCCCGGACCCGATTGGGCGAGCGCTAGAGGCACAGCCAGCTGTGCCTCTAGACTTCAACCACGTGATCTTATGGGCACAGTAGCTGTGCCTCTAGATATCCTTATGTAAGCTTGATATATGTAAGTGATGTGATGTTGTGAGGCTATTTACATCCAATTTACTGTATTTCTAGCTATGTGATGCATTAAAGATAGATAAATATAACTTATGCTTCCTCTTGTATAGCGGATAATATACTAATACTAGTATTAATATAATAAATTAAAACATACTTTTAAGTATATAACCTAAGTATTCTTTAGCCCTTATAGTAATTATTCCTCTTATATTAAGTATTTATAATACTTAAATAGTATAAATAATTATTATAAACCCTAATAGCCGCCGTTATTAGAACCCTCCTCCCTTTATTATTTAAACTAATAGTTTAGTAATACCTGCAATAACTGCTCCTCCTATAAACTATATTCTGCAGTCTATCCTTATTAATAGCCAAGCTATCCCTTAATAGCTAGCTCCTATAAATACTTATAATAATCCCCTTAACCTCTAGATAGACTTCTAGCTTATATATATAAGGCCCGGTAATACCACTAGTAATATTGCTTTATAGTAATAGAATCCTTAAGCTCTTATTACTGCCTAAAGCACTTTATATCCTCTACTAGGGTAATTAATTAATATAATTTAATAGCCTTATAGATATTAAGTTAAGGGGGAATAGTATATTAGTTACTAGTATAATTAACTTTAGCACTATACTAGAGAGTAATTATAAGTAGATCTTAGGCCTTAATAGAATTATAATATACTTATTAACTATAATTAATACTATTATAGCTAGTAGCTTGCAGTCTCTGGTATTAATTAGCCTACCCTAGCAGTAAGTATAATTACTTATTAGCATATTATTTAAGCTCTTTAAAATATAAGGATATTAGTTATTTATATAGATTAAAATAGAAATATATAGTAGGTTTAATAAGAAAGGAATTAAGTTAGGGGCATAGTATAGTTTTTAGTGATTTTACTTACTTAATAGTATAAAAAAAATTACACCTAGTATAAAGATTATTATAACTTTAGGATAGTTCTATAAATCTAGCTTATAATATAATAGATATAATACTCTAAAATAGCCCTTTTTCTAAGCTTTTAAATAATATATATAATATATCTATTAACTAATTATAACCTAATTTAGATATAGGGGTTCTAATATTAATATATTTACTGCTAATCCTTATAATCCCGGGCTACTGCCTTCTATATATAATTAAATCTATAATAAGTTATAAAAGGCTATGCCTTTAGCTCTTTTTTAATATTCCTATTAACCTATTTAGTCTTAGCCTTATTAAAGTTAAGATAGCTTATTATTTCTTCCTTAGTTTAATCTTAAATACTTCTTCCTATTCTATATTAATAACTTATTTACTTTTTATTAAGGCACTAATTATATTTAGCCTTGCTATAATGCTAAGGCAGCTTTATAGCTTTATAGTACTATTAGTTAGTCTTTAATGCCCCCTGAGGTTATATAGTATACTATGCTTCTCGATCTGCCTTATAGTATTAATAGATAGTATAGGCATTATGTGACGGTTGGGTTTTCCAAGGGATAAACTAGTCCGTTCTAAGTTTATGTTGGCAGAGTCGTAGGGCGTGTAATACTGAGCGATTGCGAAGTATCACGTCTCTTAATAGTGAATAAGGCGGGTCAGGCGTATTCAGGTAAAGATATTTAATTAATAGCTGTCGAGCTAAGTATACTAACTAGTGCTAAGTGAATGTATATATACTAATGTCTACTATATTGGGAGCGACGATGAGTTAGGTCATCGTCGGTCCTGGAGCGACGCGGTCCTGGAGCGCCGTCGGTCTATATAAGTGTCAGTCTATTGTTAATTAGCCGATCTTGCGGTACGATGTGGGGAAGTGAAAAGTGAAAAAGTGAGGTATATGTGACATAACCGCTCAGGTCATAACACAATCTCTCCCCTCCTATGGGCTTATCCTTAAGGCCTATTATCTTAACTAACATCATTCTTCTTTCGGTAAGGTCCAACTTAATCCTTTTATTATTATGCAATACTATGTCTAACCGTATATCTAAGCAGTCCTCGCGCAAAGATCGTAAAATTAATACGCTTGCGTTATCCGTCGAGTTTTCCAACGAGGAAGCTAATATGCCTTATACTCGTTGCTTTCATGCAGGCAAGAAGTGCCTGATATCGTCAGATTCTGGTTATTACAGTAAATGCATTTGTTCTAAGAAATCCTGTGATAGAACTCGTATTGCATTATCCCGTGAGTTATTTTTCTATTGTAGTGACTATATGTTTTTATGCTAATTCTTTTATAGTAATGAACTTAATGAAACAAGAGAAGAAATTAGAAAATAACGAGGATGCCGCCAGTGAGGATCTCCTTAAACTTCACGAAGAGATAGCGGCATTACAGTCTCGCCTATCTCTTGCGGCTGGTCGTTTATCGCGAATTCGTAAAATTCGTAGCAAGGTAAAAAAGAAGCGTTCCAAGGCAACCCGTTATGGTCTCCAAGAGGTTGATCAGGCGGATGACATACTATCCGGTTTGGATGCTTATGAAGATGCCGTGATTCAGGATCTTCAGGTTAATTGCGTTCTTAACGAGGTGGATTAGGCTACATTGGGTTTAGGTGATGAGTTTTTTAATGCTTCTCCTTTGTTCAATTCTAGTGGAAATTCTTCAGGAGTCATTAGGCGTTAACTAAGTGTTTTAGTGGTTCCTATGTATTCTCGTTTTCTAGGTAGTTTTTCTATTTCACTAAATATATTATTTATCCATTAATCTTCTGTATATCTCTGATTTCCTTGACCTCGTAGGTTTCTGGTCCGTTAATTTCTTTAGGTTTATTGCCGATTTTGACTTTAATAGTGTCAGCGGCTGTTTCAAGAAATGAGATATAGTAAATTAGGTAGAGTCTAATTTTTACTGGTAGCTCCAGTTCATAGACATCTTTCTTAACTTATCGTTTAATTTTATATAGTCTAATAAACTTATAGTCCAGTTTATATAAAGGTCATTTTATTGTGATATTTTTTATAGATAGGTAGACCATATCTCCCTCCTTGAAGGTTAGTCCCTCTACCTTCTTTTTATCATAGTAACGCTTTATTCGTTATCTAATATATTCTAGTTCCTTTTTTATTTCCTTGTGTAGATTTTTAAGGTCATCTGCTTTTAGTATTGCTGCAGGATTTATTATTTTAGGATCTTATTTATCGTGGTAAGCGTCTAGTGTGAACCTAAAGTTGGCGTATGCCGGGGTTAACTTGGTGCTTTCATTGTAAGCCATGTTATAGGCGAATTGGGCGATAGGTAACTTTTCGACCCAGTTATCTTGTTTATAATTAATATAGTATCGCAAGTATTATTCCAGTACTTGGTTTATTCGTTTAGTTTATCTGTCTATTTGTGGTCTAAATGCAGTAGACATTCGGTGATTTATTCCTAGCAAGGCTGAGAGTGCTTGCTAAAATTTGCTAGCGAACGTTATACCTCTATCCGATAGGATCTCGGATAGTAATCCATGGTTTCTAAAGATTTAATCGTAAAAGATATAGGCTATTTATTCTGCGTCAGTTACTTCCTAATAAGGGATATAGTAGTAAAACTTCGTTAATCGGTCTACTATTACTAGTATACTGTCATAGAAGATTCCAGTTAAAGGTTCTTCTGAGAGTGGTAGTTTAGTGATAAAGTCTATCGTTATTGAATCCCATGGTCGTTGTGCCACTGGAAGTAGTTATAACCCTCCGTAGGGTTTATGTCGTCGTGCTTTTATCCTTGCGCATAAGTTATACTGTTTAATTGTATCTTCCACTTGTTTTTATATAGGATTATATCCCTTGTCTTGTAGTCTTTTTAGTGTTTTCGTTACACCCTGATGACTGTGTAGTGAATATGCGTGGTAATTTTGTAGCATCTTTCGCAGGTCTTCTTGTTCTGCGAATTTCTTTCCTTGACTCTATACGCTGTTTAGGCTGCATTTTTCGCATTTATTAATAATATCTTAGATTTATTCATTTAATCCTTCGATTAGGAATTATCGTCGTTTATATTTTTCTTTTATCTCTGATAGGCTTGCGTGGTTTTATGCATAGTGCTTTTCTAAAGCGTCTATAAGTTCTATCATTTTAACCGCATCGAGGAGTTCCTTTCCTCCTACGATAAGTCCTAGCGTATATGCTTGCTGTATAAGCTTATATTCTCCTTTTTTTATTTCTTCGAGGAATTATTTATTAGCTTTAACCGTTCCTATGTCAAAATCCGGTCATTGGCTGATTGCATCGGCTCTTCTGTTATCTGATCCTTTTCGGTGTATAATAATAAAGTCAAATTCATATAAGTACTCGGCATACCTGGTCTATCGTCTATTGAGTTCTTGTGTCATGGTGAAGTGTATAATATTCTTGTGGTCCGTATAGACTTTAATCTGATGCTTACTTCCCATGAGGTAATGTCTGAACTCTTTAAAGCAGTTGAAGATTGCTAAAAACTCCTTGTCGTATATAGGGTAGTTTAGTTCTGCTCCGTGTAGTTTGTGTGAATAGAATGCAATAGGGTATAGTTTCCCAGTGTTATCTCGTTGTCTAATCTGTCTTCCTAGGGCAAAGTCTAATGCATCTGTTTCTAGTTTGATTTCTTTCGTTAGATTAAAGATTGCTAAGATAGGTTTGCTGAGGATTGCTTGCTTAAGTTGCTTAAATGCTTATTAGGCTTTATCGTTCTAAGTGAATGCTTAGTTCTTTTTAGTTAACTC